TGTGTTGTGTGCTTGCATGTGAGGCGAGGAGGCAGTGCAGCTAATAAGGCAATATCTAGAGCGCTTTCTTCTTCATGGTACAACATCAAACGCAAGTCTCAATGTAAGTGCTCTCAACAAGATGGAAAAGAAAAACTGGGACGTATTAGATCTTACAGAAAACAAAAGGCAAAAGAGTGGTCGGTGCTGCTCATTACGGCTGTACCCCTCGACCCCTCGTTCCTTTTATGTGCCGAAAAACGATTGCTCCGTTTGCACTTAAGCGGTAGTGGTTATTTGAAGACAGTAAAATAAGAGGCTGTTGATAAACGTATTCACTTTAGAAGCGTGTGCGTGTTTGGAGCAAAAGGAAGGTCAAGAAGGAGGAGAACAAGCAACAAATGATATTATATACTTTGGCCTTTCAACCAAACGTGTGGGTTAACAGAGACAGCAGAGAACCATCTATGGGTCCTGCAAATGAAAAATCAGGTTCTCTTCGAAGCAACATTAAAAAGACAAAATAAGTGTTTGGGTAAATTCTGATTTTTGAGGATAAAAGAAATGTAGTTAATGATGTGGCTTCACCTGTGCTCTGTTTAATTATCTTACCTTCATGCTTTGCTAATTATTTTCATTTGAAGATAACTCATAACAGATGTTTATGGCAAAAGCTAATTTAGTTCAGATCAAGCAGTTTGATATTTTCCATGATAAACTTGAGGCAAATTAAAGAAGAGGTTTATAGACCGTACAAAACGTCTTTCAAATAGAATATGTGTTGTTAAAAAATCTCATATTCAGTAAATTGTATTTCAGATTTGAACAGCATTTTTCTAGAGTTTGGTCATGAAAATAATAATATGCTATAATGGATCATTCCAGCAAACATGAGAACTTTTTTACAGAGTAGATGTGTTTGTGTGAGAGTGTCAGAGTGGTTAATCTTTCCTGGAGGACGCTCTAAAATGTTTTTTGTAGAATTCACACATTTAAGTCTGTAAGGTGAATGCTATAGAACAATATAAAGGTTAGAATAATTTGATAAGCTTCCAGAGGGACACAATTACTGCGTTTAGCAACTTAAATCTGCATGATACTGTATTTCTTATCTCAATTCAAATAGAAAAACATGACATATCCTTCAATCTAAAGTGTGGTTTTATATTGGGGGGGTCCAGACAGATCTTTCCATCTGTAAGAAAGCCTCGATGCTCCGGATGGTTTAGACCAAGTGTATGAGTATGTGTTTATGTGTGTATGTGTGTGTGTGTGTGTGTGCGTGTGTGTATGTGTGTATGTACATGTATGTGTATGTGTAGGAGTGTCTGTATGTGTATGTGTATGTGTAGGAGTGTCTGTATGTGTTTGTGTGTGTATGTGTATCTATAATTGTGTGTATATACTATGTAAAAAACTTTTACATATACTATGTAAAAAACATTTCCAGGATCAAAAACATAGTGTCTAAAGCAGACTTGGAGATTCTTATCCATGCATTTGTCTCCAGTAGGTTAGACTACTGCAATGGCCTGCTCACAGGTCTGTCCAAACAGGCTGTAAAACAGCTGCAGTACATTCAGAATGCAGCAGCTCGAGTCCTGACTAGAACCAGGAAGTACGACCATATTAGTCCGGTCCTCAGGTCTCTGCACTGGCTTCCTGTGGCTCAGAGAATAGACTTTAAAACAGCTTTGCTTGTGTACAAGTCTCTCCATGGCCTCGCACCAAAATATATTAGTGACATGTTAGTCCCATATGAACCAGCCAGGACTCTGAGGAGCACAGGGACTGGACTCCTGTTAGTGCCCAGAGTCAGAACTAAACATGGGGAGGCTGCTTTTCAGATTCATGCTGCTAAAATCTGGAACACTCTTCCTGAAGATGTGAGACAGGCCTCCTCTCTGACTATGTTTAAAACCAAGTTAAAAACTGTGCTGTTTAGCTGTGCATACAACTGAGGGATTTTATATTTTTTATCTTTCTTTTTAATGTTCTGTGATTATTTATGATTTTAATGCTATCTTGTTCAGCACTTTGAGTTGCCTTGTGTATGAATTGTGCTATACAAATAAACTTGCCTTGCCTTGCCTTGCCTAAAACTGTAAGTGTTAAGACATGTATTCATTCATCTCGGTTTTGATGGAATTGGCAAAATAATTGTCTTGACTGTATATTATTCTTGTTGTTGACTAATGACTGAAGAAAAATATATTATCATTATTAACAAAATTGTATTTTAGTCATGAATAAATACATATTATCTGAGTCACAATGAGTTGGTTGAAGTACAAATGTGCAAAAAGACATCATTTGAAACGTATCCGACACATCCTATAGACCCTCCATACAGACTATACTGTACATCTGACCAAACCCCAATCCTTTCCTTATTAACAGTCCACTTGCACTTGCCTTGCCATTTTTCATTTTGCAAATCGTAGCCACGAGGAGCCGAGTGGCAGAGATAAACCTCCCCAACCAAATTCAAACCGTAGCCAGTCTCCTAATGAACACAGCGTTTCAGAAGTGCCCTCCACTGATCAGAGGACGGCGGCTGACTGCGAACCAACCAATTATAAACCAGGACATAACAATCACTCATCAGAACGCAATCAAAACATCTCGACCACAATGTGTGCAGAGAGTCTGTGAAACACCTGGATGCCTCAGACGGTATGGAGCGTAACCAAAAATATGAGCGTTTGGATGGTCACAATCAAGGCTTCAGGGATAAAACAGACTATGAATTCAACTGGATCATAAATATCTAACGTGAAGCTCCTTGGTTTGATATTTGTGTAAGGAATGTAAAGTGGCTGAGGAATTTGAGTAAGTACTGAGTTAATCCTTGTGTTGACGCCAGTTTAGAAAGTATTTAGTCCTGATCTGTAAGGGCTTGGTTTTAGAAGACATTTAGCTGCCCTGAAAAACCATGTGTCTTCACTAGAATATCCTGATTCTTTTATAATATGAACCAATTGAGATTTAAATACAGATTAATAATAACAACAATAATAATGCTTTTAATTTGATATAATTATGGATCTAGTTTTTATTTAAAGGTGATCTGGTAACTGGTATTTTGTAGAATCTGTTCAAACTTAAATCTTATCATAGTTTTGGTCATTTATAAAGCACAATTCATGCAAGGCAACCAAAAGTGCTTTCCAAACACACACAAACATTATAAAATATGTCAGAATTAAAACTCAATATATAGAACTCAGCCTGGACTTAAACAATGCAAGAAATGAGGCCTCCTGTACATCTTTAGGAAGACTGTTCTAGATTCTAGGAGCAGATGCATAAAATACTGCCTCTCTGTGTTTAGTCTTGACTGTGGGCACCAGCAGGAGGCCAGTCCCTGTGCTCCTCAGACTCTCAGCAGGAGGCCAGTCCCTGTGCTCACTGGAGTTCCAACAGGAGGACAGTCCCTGTGCTCCTCAGACTCTCAGCAGGAGGCCAGTCCCTGTGCTCATCGGAGTTCCAACAGGACAGTCCCTGTGCTCCTCATAGTTTAAGCAGGAGGCCAGTCCCTGTGCTCCTCATAGTCCCAGCAGGAAGCCAGTCCCTGTGCTCCACATATTCCCATTTGTTCACACAGCCTAACATGTCACAGATGTGATTTGGTGCTATCTATCTTAGCACATATTGGTTCTGTATCACTATTTTTCACATGTATGTTCTTGCCTCTATCACATCTTTGTATCAGACTTTTTAGGAGGACCACCCTCACTCAGGCAATCAGACTTACAGAGCTAATGAATATGCAAAAGACAAAATGTTTTAATATAAAGATGGAAAACACCTTGTGTTTGCTCAGTTGTGTCCAACATTTAACTTTCACAAGACTCTTAATGTTGAGACAATTCTAAATACTCGGTGTTCCTTAAACCCTGCTTCAAATTGACTTTTATCTTTGTACTCCCCCTTTTTTTACCAGGAAGTCTGAAGAGGCAAAACAGATAAATTATGAATTCCAAAATGTCTACAAAAGTACCACACGTATGCTCTACTCCTCAGATCATTAGATTGTGAATAGCATTTTAGTCAATGTGACCTGTTTTGCAAGGATTTCAATATGTGTTTAGTCATTTTCTAGTCAAGTATCTTCCTTTCAATTCAGACACACTCATGGGATGTTGGTGTGCACTATAAAGTATCTTGGGGCTCATTCTCCTCATTACAGCCTTGATACGGATTAGACTTGCGGTTTTGAGTCATCACAGTGGTGCCAATTAAGTCGTTCTCTTAAAGGGAAAGATTGCGGCCAAAGCTTCCTCTATATTGTCCGTGCATGGGCCTACACCACATTTGTCACGGTTTGCTTTACACCTCAGCAGCTGATCAAAGTGACAGCATACAGCCCCATGTCCACATACACACACATCTTCACTATAAGCAGTACACAATTACTTTTTACTCATTCATCATGTCTGTTTTGAGAGAGCTATGCAGCGGAACTCAAGCGTGCAGCACAGAAAAGACTTGCTTTCCCTTATATGGCAGGCGGCGTTGCGCTGTCCATGGTGCTGAAGCTGACTGTACGGTTGGCACTGGGGGTGGGGGGTACGTGCATGCAGCTATAACCACATTAATCAAACCCACACACACACACACACACAAACAGTCACGCACATACACACACATTGCGAGGTGGTTGTTGCACATACGGGTGATGCATGGGCTGTACATCCATCCTTCACGTTCATTGATGAGAGCTGTATACGCTGCTGTACTGCTGCTGCTGTGGTGGTGGTGCTTACTTGGTTTGTGAATAAGGTGGCGTGCTGAAATAATGTCCCCCTTAAACTGTCACTGCACCAGCTTGAAACGCATTGTACTGTACTTTTTGATCAGTGGTGGGTGAATCATACGTCAGCTTGCGGGTTTTCTGTACAAGAGGCACATGCACGCAGCCAGTGGCCCTGCACTAGGTTACATATTCACACAGCATGACCGCACCAGGCGTGTGAAATGCCTGTTAGCGCGCGTAATAAAGATGAAGGCTACATTACCTTTCATCCAGTCCAGGACTTGCTTTGGCGTCCATTTACTTATAGGCTCCATAACCAAAGCCATGGTGTCACAGGCTCTCCGCGGTGCACGACACAGGACTCAATGCGGGAGACATAAAACGCCTTGTCAGTCACATCTGGAATGAGACAGCGGTTGGGGAAAGGAGAGAAAAGGCAAAGCTCGACACTTGTAAATTCTCCAACGTGAGCATGGCCGCCTGCAGAAACGGTGAACGGGATGCGGTGGTGCAATCCACGCACACACACGGACACACACACGCGCGCCTCCCCTGCCTCTCTATCTCTCTCTCTCTCTATCTCTCTCTCTCTCTCTCTCTCTCTCACTCGCTCGCTCTGAGGGTCCTGGTGCCTTCCCGCGCGCTGAGAGGAGGGATTTTGGTGGGCGATGGAAGGAGATGGGGCCCCTCCCCTCGCTTCGCTGCAGCATCACAGGGGCCACACTCGTATAACAGAGCGGGAATGGTGCAGCGCTCCACACACGGAGCTATACGTCGCTCCCGCTTTACGCACACATGCACTTATCTGGAATGGCAGGGAGGGAGTCAGCAGCGAGGCACGTTTTGGCAGGCTCCACTGAATGCATCTTAACACAGCATTTACCTTATTAAACGAGACTTACACTAAAATCTTGGTCAAATAAATATTACACGGTTATTGGTATTTCATTATTTGAATTCGTCATTAAGAGTCACAATCATGCTAGAATATGGACAGGGTTATAATGATAATAATAATAATGCATAATTTAATTACCATTCAATACAACAAAACGCCACTGGAGCAAAGTTCTTTCTTGGTTCTTCCTACCAGACCAGTATAGAAGATCAAATAACTTAAGCTAAGACAAGATGCACCTTCCTAAACTGGAGCAACGACAGTTTGGCCTATACATAAACATTGAATTGGTATAGGCTAAATAAATAGCCTATATTCTTGCATTCTCCCACGTATTCAACATTAAAATATGCATGGCAAAGTGTTTGGGTCTGGCTAACTTGTTCCGATACAAAATACCAAGAGTATAGAAAGTATTGTACTAAGTCTAAAAAGCCAGCTAGCATTAAAAACATGGAACAAAATGACATAATTGGAACGAGCAGTCACCCGTGTCACATGTGGAAGCTTCTGTCCTCGGTTTGAGTGAAGTTCACCGTGTTTGACTGAAGGGAAATTCGAGCAGCATCAGGGGCTCCTGCAGGGCTCCTGTGCTGCTCGTGGCTCTGAAGCGGAGAGGCGCCCCCTGCTGCGCATGTGAGGGAGGTGACGTCATGCACTGTATCTGAAGGGGAAAAAAGAGAAAAGAAATAAATGCATAATATATATACTCAAATTGCTAATAAAGGTATTCAACAGTTATTTTTGTTGTTTTTTTACATGAGTAGGACACAAGTGATTTAATTGATCAGTGTTGGCAAGTAATATAATAAGGGATATAATCCTTTTTTTAATAAACAAATTTAATACAAAGGACAGAGAAAGACAAAAGAGACCTCGTGTATAACCAGGATATGACAAAACAGTAGCAGCAGGCAAGTCACGGAATTATGAGGAATAAATGAAAAACATACAAAGGGTTAAAAATAAGTGTTGTATACATGTGTTTTCAACTGACGTTCAGAATTCTCTTCTTTGTGAAAGAATGATAACTTAATAATTAAAATGTAAATATACCGTGATATCAATGTTTATACCTGTGTTATAATTCATTCCCAGTGAACACCTGAGATTTAGTGCAATACTCAGAAAGCCAAAAACTTTTTTATTATGGAACTGAATAAGTTTGAGATTTCACATCATATCCTGTAATTGTGTTATATAAAAGTAGGATAAGGAAATTATACACGATTTGTGAAGCCTGTAATTCAATGTGTAACAAAACAGGAAGAAAATAATATATAAGACATGTTTTTTAAAATATGAATAATAATAATCATAATATTAAAAATAATAATAATAATTAAATATTTTAATATAAAAAAATACAATCTTTGTTTATGTCACATGGGGAAATATCATTGATGCAAACATTACAGCAGTTGATCTCCAAACTAGATCAATAAGAATAAACATGTTTTACAACTGTGAAGATTAGATAATACATATCTAAAATATATTGTAAAGAATATACAACTATCCTACAAATACACTTAAGGAAATGTATATAAGCGCCCTAAAAATAAGTAGAGTATGGGGTCTATGCAATGACTAATGCATTGGCTTATGGATTAGGTAAAACTAATCTCATAATGGAGAAATGTACTTTACATTTTCAATAAAGACAATGCAGATTCATTGTTCAGCTGCATTCACACAGAAATGCAGAGTGCAGGAGAGGTCACTCCACCCCACACAGGATCTCTGTATGACGTCTGGGAGTTGTTAAAAACATGTATGGAACGTTCAAGATGATATGATTGTTTATACTTCACACATAGTAAAATAAATTCCCCTCAAATGTTCCATTTACTTGTACTGGTGTGTAAAACATTAACTGAAAATTCTAAATCGCAATGAAGGAGAATTCCTGTCTGCCTCCTCCTCCAGAATCACTGGACTGTCAGGGGGCGGGACCTGTGGATGTCAGCGCTTGATCTTGGCTTTTGATTGGCTCATGTCTGCACCTACGTCACAATCATGATTAGAATTGATGATCGGAGGCTCTGATTTCATTGTCTAGCAAAAAGGTCTGCTGAAGAAATCTGCTGAATTTGATCGTGTGCCTGATTTTGACATCAGAAATGGTGAGTTTGATTTTGATTTCAGGCTTGACGCGTAAGTCCTGCGCGCTCCTCTTCGCTGTAGCTGGACATAGGTGTGATCTGCCCCAGTGACCACAGCGGGGCCGAAAATTCACACATTTAAAGCAAAAGTTTAGCCCAGGCTGGGAGGGATGCTAGGCTAATGCTAACTAGCCCCGGTGGCTTGGCTGTGGCTCTGGCCTACACGGAGCTAAGTGCAGACGGCTCCAAACACACGCTGTCTGCTATCACACATCTCCCTTATCACCAACAATAGCCTCGTTGCTAAACCCTGGTCTGTTGCCCAGTTCACACAGCGGGCTGACGCCACCACTATTTACCTATTCGCTTATTACATCAGTGGCTTTTCCGCGCGTAATGATGTCCAAGACGCACTGTTTACTGTGGCCATGCGCAGTCTCTCTGCCGAGATAAATCAGCTCGGCGCTTATTGGTCGCATTGCGTTCGCGTATGCAATCATTGCAAGTTAATAACACCCATATAAACATTAACTTGCTCCCCCTAGTGACAACCATTTCGTGAATCTCCTCTGTTTCAGGTTATTTAGCAATTTAGCATATTCATGAAATGAATGATAGGAGTGTTACGGGGAATACTTTTAAATGTATGCAGTGACAGAATACTGAATTACTTTGTAACGTATTATGCTGTGATCCAATCAGAAAACTGTACTCTAAATAATCGGGAAACGTTCTTGCTAATTTGCATAATGAAGTGTAACTATATAATGATGGATTATAAGTACTTGGTTTAGCACCGTCGTTTTTTGCTTTTATGGTAATTGTTCACAGAACCACTAAAAGTTCATTAAAAATGAAAGAATAGATAGCCTACAGTATCATGCCGAAATTGCATGGTCAAATACAAATAGTGTTCCTTACAATTGTTAACTGTATTGTTGTATGTAACTGTATTGTCAAAAAAAATTAAAAGTTGCCATTTCTCATTACATTACTCTAGCAACGTAGTGCGCTACAAGTATTCCAATGCTCCACACCACTGATAATACGATTACTTTCTTATTAACTATTATTATTAGTATAGCATAGTTATTATTTATGAAGACGCACACACAAATGATTCTTATTGGTGTGATAGTGAGATGGTAAAGTGATAGTGTGTAATCAAGTGAAAATTATACCCTATTTCTACAGCCCGATCCCCTGCCTGTGTGCGTCATGCCCTGCCATAATGAGGATAAACAAGGCTGTTCATAGAATCATGGAGCCTTCGCAGTGATAGCTGCACCATACCCCTCCAGCAGCAGGATGGACACGTGGGACCAGAGGCGCGGCCTGCAAAGTGTGAGTGGAAACATCAGTCCTGTATTTCATGCATCATACACCAAACATCATGACATCGATATCCGTAACACAGTATTATTCTAGTCCAGTGGTAGAAAGTAGCATGATGTCACGAACATATTAACATTCATGGACCCACTATGGACGAAGGACTTATGTGTTTGTTATTATGGCTTTTCCTGTGGTCTGTGGTGACGAATCGACAACTTTGTGAAGTCCTATAACAGAAGAGACAACTCATTTCATTTTTTCATTTTCAACCCCTTTTATTTGTCCATTTCTGGGTCAGGGGGGTGGCAATGAGAGCTGCCACCCAATGCTCATAGCACCAGTCCCTCGCTGATCTTCTGCAGGGGGTGAGTCCACAGGAAGATGGCTGCTCCATCAGTTGAGAAACCGCCTTGATCTTTCAGCGGGGGGCTTCAGGCAACGTGGGGTTAAGTGTCTTGCCCAAGGACACAACGACAGCAGTCATCAGTGGGAGCGGTTGGAGTAGGTCCCATGGTGGGAATCGAACTCACGACTGTCTACTGTCGCCCAGAAGAGACAACTGCTGTTGTGATTTATGGCTATACAAACATACATTTGATTGAATTAATGAAACAATCTTGAGATCTGTAGGTGTTAGGATGTAATATTTTACTGAAGGATTTTAAAATTAGTTATTAACACAAGATACAGATTTGAGTCAGTGTCTACTGGTTCTTTTGGGCTGATACTTTCTAGAAGTCTTTTAGAGACAGGTCAACAGCTATTTCCAAAGTAGGCAGGCAGGGCAAGTTTATTTTTGTAGCACAATTCATACACAAGGCAACTCAAAGTGCTGAACAAAAGTACACGCAGGACTACCAATTATACCAGGTGCCACGGTGGGGGGACAGCGGTGACAATCTAATAGATTTATGGGTGACAGTTGCTCTCACCATATAGCTGTCAGAGTCAGTTAAAAATGTATAAAATAATAAATGTACATGGGACGGAGCAAAGTTTACTGTGTACACATAAACTCTTGTTGCAGATGAATCTTCGCTCAGTGTTCACTATTGAGCAGCAGAGGATTCTGGAGCGTTACTATGACAATGGGATGACCAACCAGAGCAAGTCCTGCTTTCAGCTCATCCTGCAGTGCGCTCAAGAGGCCAAACTGGATTTCAGCGTGGTCCGGGTAGGTGCATAATGAACATGAGGTAATTAAGGCTGTAAATCTAGTCCATTGCTTATACTTGAGCTGTGTTATGCTTGCCTTGCATCAGTGCATGTAGAGCAGTGTAATAAAAATGATTTGGTTACCCTGCAGCGAGAAGGTCTTGGGTTCGATTCCCGAGTGACGCAGAGCCGGTCTGTGGAGTTTCCAAGGTTCTCTCCAAGCCTGCATACTGTAGCTTATGTTTATGTTTAGTTCTCAGGCAATGGAAGTTATTTACAGTATATCAATAAACACGCACAGAACATCAACTTGCGTAAAATATGATCATTGCCACACATTGAAATTGTTATTGGACAATCTGTCTATACTTTGGCTGTAAAACATTATTAGTTCACATCTTTCACATTGATTTGCAATTTATATACACAATACTAGTTTGCTATTTGTCGTCCAACTTTATTTCATTCATTGATTGTATTAGTTTAATTGAAAAGGGACAGTGCACATTCATCAACAAGACTATAAATGTACCAGTATTAGTTGAACCACCAATTTCTAACTGTAGTCCCTCGGCAAGGGGTAAAACGCCAATGTCAATTTCAGCAAACATTACAATATAAAATATACTTGCATGTTCAGCAAAGTTAGTACAAATGTATACAATATGCATTTACTTGAATACATGTGTGTATTCATGTCCCTTCCACAAAATGTTTTTTTGTTTTGTTTGCAAAATCAACGTTTTTGTCAAGTATAATAGCATATATTTGTCTTCATTTCCAGACATGGGTTGGCAATAAGAGACGAAAGCTGGCCTCCAAAGTGGACCAGAACGGTGGCCTGTCCGTCTCTTTGTCCGGCCACAGCCTCTCTGCGGGACTCCTCTCCAACCACAGCTTTCCTGCTGGTACTTTGCCAAACCCGTCTCTGGTTCCCGGACCCCTCCTACACTCTGAAGTCCTCACAGCACGCAGCATCCCAAACAGAGTCCAGCTTTTCCCCCACTCTTCAAATTACAAGAGTCAAAATTTCACTACAACATCTTCCTCGTCGTTGACATCTTCTCCTCTCTTTGCGCGATGCAACAGTAACAATAACAATGACGTCATATTGACTGGTATTTATTCACTTAATTCTGCTGAGCGTTCGAGACAGCGACCAGCGGGCCCGTCTCCTAGGTCTGATTCGGCAAATGCATCTTCCTTTAACATCAGCCCGACTGCTCATAACAAAAATACCTTAAGCACTTTACCTCTTCAGTCAAACGCAGTATCTCTGGCTCAAAATCTCATGTCGTTACCTCCATTATTGGGGCCTGTAGTCCACACTGCAACCAGGAAGACCTCCGCTGAGCCAAGAGGGAACATCGGCACAAGCGTAGTACCTCAAAGCTGGACAAGACCATACCCTTCGGGAAATTCGCTCTCATGGTCCAACAACACAACCTCCCAAATCAAGACTCAACATAGACCTCATTCAAACCCACAACCTCAATCTACTTCTAGCACCACTCCTCCTCAGAAAGTAAAAGTTATGCTTCCAGTGCAAAACGCAACCACCCCCTCAGCGATTCCCCGCATTCAACAGGTTTTCACGTTGGCGGAAAAAAGTGAGTGGAACAAACTTATTTCGTCACAGGGATCGGGTCAAAGAGTACAAGAAAAGAAACGGCCCGCGCCTGTCTACTTGGATACCAGTTATAATTTCTCAATCGCGATGGAAACTGGGGATGAAGAAGATGAGTGGCTGAGGGAGGAGGAGATGGCCAACATGGCGGCTCAAGCTCCGGACCGACAGAGGAGGGAGCAGAGGAGCCAGAGTGTGACAGAGGTCAGCGGTACAAGTAGAAGTAGCAACATTCCAGCGGCGGCAAACTCCAAATCCACGGCAGCTCAAGGCGACAGCGATCTCCACAGTTATGAAGCAGTGGCTGCGCAGACCTCGCTTAGGACAGACACCAGCTCGCAGGTGAGAAACGTAGAGATTCACCAGCTACAGTAGCAGTTTCCATTGAAGAGAGTGAGTTTCTACTTCAAAGATTGACCTATGTGATGTGGTATTCGAGAGCATGACCTAGCATCATTCCGCAAAAACACAGACATTTTTTTACCATTTACAGGTAGCTATGTAACTACAGTGAATTTAGTTACAAAGCTACCTTAACTTTATTTGTCTCTATACTACATTCTAAAAAGAACATGGCTATATATACATTTTAAAACGTGTAATCTTGAGTTTGTTTTGCAGACTTCAGTTAGTGCGTCTGCTGATCCCTGGATTTTAAACAACTCCAGAAAGAGAACAGTAAGTGTTTAAGCTCAACTAAACATAATCTATGCTATTTCTTCTGTCTATTGTTTGTCCTATTGATGTCCATTGTCAGAACAGTTAAGTAGAGAAATGATGTCAAATGATAATATTATGTATTTTATTAGTATTTTTCCTTTAAGTTTTAATACAGTATTGTATTATTAATAATACCAATCCCCAGATATTCCAGTGCAGGCTATTTTGAGGGCTTTGTTGTGGTGATGTTTCAAGTCGCTAATTGCAAAGGCTCCAATTAGGTTAATTGAGTGTTTCTGTAACTGAAATATATAAGATTGTATTATTAGGTTCTCAGTTCATTACATATTTATTTTATTTATTGTTATGTAGGATTTAAAATGTTGTGTAAAAGCTGGACTGAGTGAGTAACTTTCAATTGCAGCATTTTTTTATTTTTTTTATAAATAAATAGTTTTTGTGCTCATGGGGGCTGGCCATTCTTTTATGCATGATAATCTTACTGTATAAAAACAATGCAATGGTATTAGTTAATCCTGATTTTAAACATAAATCGTAAATTTAGCCTTAATTGAAATAATTAAGAAATAAACTCACATCTGAGACATGTTGAAAGAACAGCGCTCAGCATTACTGTGAATAGTTTATGAATACTAACCACATATCTGTGTTTGCAGCTCCAAGATCGGACCCAGTTTAGTGATGGGGATCTGCTCCAACTAAAGCGCTACTGGGACCGAGGCATGACCAGTCTGGGCTCTGTGTGCAAAGACAAAATCAACGCAGCAGCCAACGAGCTCAACGTAGACACTGAAATAGTCAAAGTAAATATTAGTAAATTAAATTAAATTAAGTGTTCTTGTTTGACTTTTCTTTATCATAATGAAAGCCAAACCGAGAGAGAGCTCATTTGGGTCTGAAAAGCTGGCTCAACTTTGATGCACAGAGTTTAAAAGTGACAGAGCAGGGAATCCAATTACACTAAACTAAGAGAGAAACTGAACTGGAATCAGGACTAATTCAGCGCTAATTGGAACTAGGACTAAACTTGTAAGAGCAGTGCATAACTTTTTCAGGTAGCAAACATTTGTCCACATATTTTGACCAGCTGGCACTACATTGGCTTGTACAATGAAGCGTTTAATGCTATATTGAAGAATATTTGATCTGGTGTAATATTTGATCTGGTGTGTAGTGTATCCTCAGGACGGTGAATGTACAGAATATGTAAACACTGCGCTGTATATGCAGGAGGTTTGGATTCTGTGGGAAGTGTGTCTTTGCATTCTTGATATACAATTTATTATTGCCCCTGCAGCAAGAAGGAACCCAATTTGGGTCAGAAAAGTTTCCTCAACTTTGCTGTTCAAAGTTTTTTTAAAGTCAGGGCAGGCCTGCTGGTGGACTAAATATAGTGCCTTAGTACAGAAACACATGACCTACTGCTTTCTCCAACCATCTCACTTCCTCATTTATTTTATGGCTTCTGGAAAGAATCTAGTTAATGAACACAGCTACAGAATAATAATACTGCCATTATCTTCATAGTATGCGGTGGACATTCGGCTTTCGTCGTAGGTAGACTCATTAAATGTATTGCTTCACAATAATGAGAAGACAAATTATTTATATCCCATGTGGCCCGTTGCCATAAAAGTATGGGTATAAGAACACTTATCAACCTTTACTTTCTAATGCCTGGGTAATATTTGTGTAGTTTAATGAATATGAATGTGTATAAATCTGTTATTATCTTATCATGGAATGGTTACTATGGCCCAACCATCTCTCACTATCTATTGCTATATTCCACCATGTTTATGATATCTGCATCACAGCTTTTATCAAGAGTGTAATGTATAAGCACTGCAATTCTAATAAGCAATCAAAAAATACTGTTAGTCTGTCAATTTGGTTTTGTGATGGATTCTTGTCTGTATTAGTATGACTAATGCAGACTGTCTTTGCTTGATAGACCTGGATCAGTAACAGACGCAGGAAGTATCGTCTGATGGGCATCGAGATCCCTCCTCCAAAGGGGGGGCCTGCAGTATTTACAACCTCATCCCCGGGAAATGAATCTCCGGTGGCCCTTAGCCCCGACGTGGACAGGCTGCAGACTCCAGATTTAACAGATGACACCAACGATGGGCTGTCTGAAGGTAAGGCAAACACCAAATCAAGAGCTATATATGAATGGCAAAAACTACTTTCTATAATATACTTACAGCTGTACAAGCTTTATATATGTAATCTTCATAAACATCAGGAGCACACCTTAAAATTGCATAAAAATACTTTTGACAAAAATACTGTTATCATTTAGACAATGCAAAGGCACAAAACACTTTTTTCTTGCAAGAACAAACATTCACAACCAAATTGATAAAGTGGTTGGCTACCCATAGATTGTCCCATAAATGATAACATTGTGTGTCCCAAAAGAAAGAGTCTTGAAAAAGTAACATTCTGTAAACAAAGAATGACATGTCCTCTCTTTATGAAAACCAGGGACAGCCCCAAACTGTTTTAAGAGCAAGGAACGACAGTAGTTAGAAGGATTTCTTTTGATGGTTCCATTTTTTGTGATTTCAAAATAAAGCATCAGCTTTAATCACAAACTTCAATACATCACCTGATGTTGAATTTATATAACAGAATATAATCACGTTATGTTTATTAAATCAATACCAACTTTTGTAACTTGATGTTTAATGATCTTTGAATAACAATGATTTCTTTCAGACGGAACAATCAGCTCCCAGAACAGAGATGGTGAAGATGACACGGACATGTCCACTGCTCCGTTGGTAAATCATGTTGTAGGTTACTTTGTATTTTGTGATATTTTCTTTTTTTATATAATGTAGACTTCTAACAAAAATACGTTGCTTTTATCAATCAAATTTCTTCAGAAAATAGAAGTCTGTGAGGATGATGAGGAAGTGAATGATGATGGTGTCAACATGATGGCTTCAGACCTGGAACAGATGCAAAGCCTGCTTGAATTTAAGGTTTGTAAGATTTCTACTTTTACTAAAACCTGAACGTTTGTTTGTTTTATGTTTACAACTAATACACCTGATTGTATGCATTTTAGCATGAAGAAGTGGAGTTTCTTGAGAATGAGCTAGAGAACCAAAAACAAAGATACCAAGAGCTTGCGAGCTACACTAAAAGCCTGCTAATTGCTGTGAGGAATAAGGACCTGGACAAACAGCAGGTAAATGTGTGGGTGCAAGGTCATACAGCTGACATGCTAACATATACAAGTATGTGTACAGTTTGTGTAGTACAGAAAAATGATCATTCAATTACTAATAGCAATAATGTTATGTCAAACTTATTTTAACCTGTTTTGAAATCAGAATTCTCATCCTTCAAACATGTTTTTTGTGTGTAAACTACATATTCAACACATTTTAGATCAATACTTTCTAGTAAAGATAAAGTTATTTTTAAATGTATTTTTAGGAACTTATAGACAGCCTACCTCTGTCTTCCGATCGGGACTGGGACGTCGAGGAGGACGTTGAGAACTTGGCCTCTCCTTCAGCTCATGAAAACTCGGAGCACGAACAGTCCCCAAGCTGTGGAGGAAACTCACCACTGACCAATGAAGACATTAACGCGCACACATTTACTGAACCTTCTGCATCAGAAGGAAACAAACTGATGGAATGATTTCTTGTGTAATGAATACATTTAGATGTGCTCATATTTTACTTAGAAACAGTTTATCTAACAAGTACATGAAGAAAATGCTCATCTCACATCCCACTGCCCTGTGCCTGTGGATTAAATATAAAATTGACTGTTAGGTTGGAGCGGACTTTTTACTGCATAGTATTTCACGTGCTCTAGAATTATTCAGCGAGAATAAAAAACTGACCAAGGTAACCGTTGTTTATTGCACCCTAATGTCATCTTAAAATGTTTACAAAGTTAAAGCTGGGGTATCCAACTTTGCTCCCCTCATATTTAGAGGCGTTTTGTTTGTCCCAGAAAGGGTTGTAAAAATAGAAGTTTGTGAACAAATCAAACAACAACATGCTGCCTTTATCTCATGCGAAAGTAAGCTTATTATAAATTGCATTCTTGTAAGAAAGAGTCACTATTTGAGGATTTAAAGAGGTTACAGGCCAAAATAAATGCAGGTGAAAAGTATATAGAACTGAACTGTTATGGAAGTGAAATAGTTATGACATGGTTGAATTTTTGTTTGGAGTTAGTAAATTTGGTACCCCAGCTTTAAATATAATGTTTACTTCAGGAACTTCTATGGAGTATAATGGATTGAGCTTAAGCCTCTCAGAAAGTCCTACTTTGGAGCTGAGATGGACAAGCTGAAATGAAATGCTAATTTGATAAAAGGCTTTATGTGGCTGGCTGTGGTTTTATATTTGCTCTTTTGATGCGTCAATGCAATTTTCGTCAATCTCTGCTATTTCAATGATTACCAATCCACTATTTCGGTCAGGAGGAAACATTCGTCCCCCGGAACATTGCATGTCATCGCTGCCCCCTCCTCACCATCCGCGCATCGGCTGCTCAGGTTTGGACGGGGGAAATCCTTAACTGAATTGCGTCATAAACACGTCAATAAAGTCTCATTCACTGACGATCAGGTACCACGGTAGCCGCCATATTCGCATCCATGGCAGGGCTGCGGAGCTCTGGGTGAACGTCTATGGTCCTGGGCATCAGCATCCGATGTTATTATTACCCCTGCGACCCCCACATCCCAGCCTCCTCCCGTCAGACCGTGTGCCCTGTCTGCGATCATCAAAGCAGAAGAGCTGGATTTCTATACAGGACAAGACATGCAACGTGGAGCGTGGGTCTAGGAGGACTTAAAATGATGCCTTAGACTTTAGTCCAAACCTGGCACAAGATGGAGGTAAACAGCGTTAGCAGTGAGGTGAGTTGCCCTTTACGCGTCTTGCATGTTAATTTGTTTGGAGCTATTTTTGGCTGCTACTGTCCCGTTAAGTTAGCCTGGCCACAGCGGCTCTGGCTACGGCTTAAATCCGCGTCACGACCTGCAGCGCACCGTGATGCATGCTAACCAGCTAACCAGCTAACATGCTAACAGCTGGTAGGATGTTTATTTTTGTTGCACTCAAAAGTTTTACGAGTGCATTGATCCTTCTTGTGTATAGTTGCAGCAGTTTACTCCACTGGAACACCCGACTTGTGCTTTCATGCCACATTGCCCAATTTTTTAGTTTTTGTTAATGTTTACACTTATAAAAAAAGAGTTGCTTCGTGGCTAGCTTAGCCTGTGTAGCATTAGCAAGTGTTAGCCCGCCTGATAGCCATGACAGTTTACAGACTTGCAACTAATGGGATATAAGTTTCATTTAAACGTGATGAATTTATATCGAATTATGAGAAAACTTTCCTTACAATCGCTAAGGCACTCATCAGCGGAACAACGTGAATCTCAATAAGCTACTTTACTTTAGTTGACTGCCAGAGTTCATTGATTACCTCCAACTATTGTAGTTTTTCAGTCATAAGATTGTGATTAAAAGGTCCATTTCAGATTTGTATAAAGTGAATACCAGTCTCTCACTATAAAGCTTTGTCCCATTGCAAACAGGTTCTTAACAGAGTAGCCTAATTATAGTGATATACTTTGTCTAATGTATCGCCCTACATTGTGTTCCCTAACTACCTGTTACATGCAATCACTGCAGTGTCATTGTCTCTCTCAGAAGCAAAGATAATGGGATAGTTTGCTTAAACCAAGGCCCCAGGATGTGATGTAATGTTTAGCTTATTCAAACTCACATTTGTTTTTCATCTCTGGCATTCTTTCTCAATGTCCAAACCCCAACTCAGACTGTGCTGACTACAGTGGCTGTTCAGGGCCCACAAAAGGGAAAACCCAAAGCATTTATCCCCATAAATTGCACATTTTAAACGCTGGACTGTTTTACATTGGGGTTATTTCTGCATCACAACATTGCGATCATTTATTGCTACGTTTTACTGTGTTAGAAGGCTTTTAAGATGTTTATTTTGAGCAGGCAGCGTATACTTGCCAAGGTAACAGATGCAGCCGAGTAAACATCAAGCTTAACTTCTTAAACAAGAGTAGCCTTGACTGACGTTATCAAGAAACTACAGAGCAAACCCAATTGACTATAAGCCTTTGTGACCGACATCTTCTGATATGACTTGAAAAGACTCTTGGTTTGGTGATGCAAGTGTGGGCTGCTCACTGCTACTAACTGTGATGATGCATAGTTAAAGGTGTTTGTGATGCTGAATATGTGTGAAATGTGACTGACCGATTTTCTGTCAAGTCCAAAATCATCATATTCATAAGTAAATCACAAAAATTACATTTGCTCCTTTGTATTAGAAATGGAATCTGGTTAATTTTCTTTCTTTTGACCTGCATTAACATAATGTTTACTTTTATTGAGCCAGATATCTAATTTTCAATATGTTGTTTTTCAGCCTAGCTTGTTAATGTCAAAAATGTACAACAGTGGAGCACAGACAGTATGTTATTTTCTGGCACAGCTCATTGATAAATCCTTCTTGTTGTTGCTGTTTTTTGTTCTTTTTATCATACATCACCTATTCTGTTAACAATATTCCTGTTACCACTTGTGCGCCCTTACTTCAACAGTCATAAATTCATAGTTTGATCTGAAATGCAATGAAACGAGTGTAGATGTGGCAGCGTGGTCAGCTGGCCTCTGTGGATGTACGTGAGTGTATGAAGCGCCGTGTGGGCTTGCGGAGTGCTATGACTCATCCCCCTCTTCACAGACTTGATGGAATTTAACACAAACACATTGGACCGAATACATCAAGGAGCTTCAGTGTACAATAAAAAGATAAAACGTGGGGAGTGGGCTAATAGTGGCTTACATCAGGAAGGATCAGTTCACGGTGGGCAATACTGCTGTTACTGCTGTTAAGTATTAATTAAACATGAAAAATAGTCAAAAATCAGAAGCAGAAATATTTGGGAAAAATAAATGCATTATATCAAAATAGCTAACAATATTTACAGTCATAAAATACACATTGTATCAGTGCAATTTACCATGTTTCTTTTTTTTTTTAAATGTCCGACTCTAATTTTACTGATTGTGGATTCTTTGTCAAGAAATCTTTTGTCAAATTTACTTTGACTCATATATATATATAAAATTAATTGTCCACTCACCTTTGGCCCTCCGCGGGCGGTTATCCCTCTCTAAGCTCGGGTCCTCTACCAGAGGCCAGGGAGCTTGAGGGTTCTGCGCAGTATCTTTGCTGTTCCTAGCACTGCACATTTCTGGACCGAGATGTCCGAGGTTGTTCCGGGGATCCGCTGCAACCACTCTTCTAGCTTCGGGGTCACTGCCCCGAGTGCACCGATCACCACGGGCACTACTGTCACCTTTACCCTCCAGGCCCTCTCCAGCTCCTCTCTGAGACCTTGGTATTTCTCAAGCTTTTCATGTTCTTTTTTCCGGATGTTACCATCGCTTGGAATTGCCACGTCCACCACCACGGCTGTCCTCTGCCCTTTGTCTACCACCACGATGTCAGGTTGGTTTGCCATTACCATTCGGTCGGTCTGTATCTGGAAGTCCCACAGGATCTTCGCACGCTCATTTTCCACCACCTTTGGAGGAGTTTCCCACTTAGACCTTGGGGTTTCCAGCCCATACTCTCCACAGATGTTTCTGTACACTATGCCAGCCACTTGGTTATGGCGTTCCATGTAGGCCTTCCCTGCCAGCATCTTGCACCCTGCAGTTATGTGTTGGATCGTCTCAGGTGCCTCTTTGCACAACCGACACCTTGGGTCTTGTCTGGTGTGGTATATCTGGGCCTCTATCGCTCTGGTGCTCAGTGCCTGTTCCTGTGCAGCCATGATGATGAGTGCCTCTGTGCTGTCCTGTAGGCCAGCCCTTTCTAGCCATTGGAAAAAAAAAAAAAAAAATATATATATATATATATATATATATATATATATATATACGTGAAACATTATATTAGAAGGTCTTCAAGCATTAATCTATTTTATTCCCAGACAAAAAGCTTACATTTATTTAAAAAGGAGACTTAACATGTTCCCGTATCTTTACCTTTGTCTTACTGCTCATCACTGCTCTGAGCACAGAAACATGTTATTGTTGGAAATAATCTATAAGTTTAAATTAATCAATAATTGTGGTTATATTAATGTCAAAGTGGCAAAAAGAATTCCCTGAATCCATGGCACTTTCTATACTGCGAACTCACATCCTACAAACTTGTTCAGCACATTTTTCTGTTAGTTGTTTTGGTAATCTTTCATTTTGTCTGTTTCACCTCAAATATCAGAAATTGTTGGCGCTTACACACAAAATGGACTCGTATTTATTTTGTTTCGAAAGCTTATTCCATTGAAGTCTAATACATAATACACACTCCAATTTCCAAGTTTGTTTACCTTTGAGAATAATGTCTTCATATTAAGTTTTTGAAATTTGCAATCCTTTGAACTGACATTACAACTAAGTGCATATAGATCCTCAAAACCCTATAGTCGTGGATGTGCTCGCCTGAAAGCATGGGCAAGCAATTTAGTTGTAAATGGCACTTTGAGACCAATATGGGGCAGAATTGCTGAAGAACTAGGTTGCCTTTATTTCTCATGAGATTGAATGCTGACTGCAGCTCTTCAGCCTCAGTCAGACATGTTGTTTTTGCTCCGGTCGGGGATTAAGCTAGAATGCTAATAGTGCAGGGCTTTATAGAGACGGGATGAGCGCTGGACAGCTGGACGTGGCTTAAACTATGGGCTCCATACTTTTTTGACAACAATTCGAGCGAGAGTAGTAGGCAGTAGAAGGCGCCCTGTTTTTTTTGTTGTTGTTTTTTTTTTTTTACTTATGACTCACCAAATTCATCTGTTGATTTGCTTGTATCATACATGTGGGCGTGTGACAGCTGAAAGTCCGAGGCTCTGTTTGTGAAGGCTCATGCTTCTTCTGAAAAATGCTTACTTGTTGGGATTAAACTCTTGTGGCTGAATTCTGGCTCTGCATACAGGTCAATGGACATCAGATCATGGACGAGCCCATGGAGGAGGGAGAGTCTTTCACGCACTGTGTAAGTCAACGTCATTTTGTTAAGCAAATGTACAGCTCCAATGTCTTCATCAGTGATTTAACTCCAGTATGTAATCCCAGTGATCTATGAGGATTATGATTATTGAGGCTCGGGTAAATAGAAGGATTACAAATGCTCACATGATTGTAATTGGATGAAAATGTTTTGAATTAAGTGTTTTTTTTTTAGTTGAGTTTTTAATTGACTTGTTATTGATTTCTGATAGTAATATATATTTTTGCTATTTTTCTCTAACCTCAGAATCAGAACAGACTTTCTCTTCACTTTAGTTCCACCAGTGCTAAAATAGCTGTTACTATAATAATCTACCTAAAAAGTTAAATTACACCCTAAATGAAATATTTGTTGCTGTTTGATTTTCTTGGTAATAATCACTTATGTCTTCACTGGAGTAACAGTATCTCAGTCATCAACTGCAACGGATCAAATCACAAATGTTACTGTGATGGTTTGTGCAGGACGAGGATGGTGCTTATAAGGAGATTCCCATCACTCATCACGTGAAAGAGGGCTGTGAAAAAGCCGATCCCTCGCAGTTTGAGCTTCTTAAAGTCCTTGGCCAGGGCTCGTTTGGCAAGGTGAGGAAAAAAAAAATTCAGTTTGCTAAATCACTTGTAATACTATTTTTATTATTAATATTGACTCTTCTCTGGCAGGTTTTTCTTGTGCGAAAGTTAATAGGTCCTGATGCTGGTCAATTATATGCAATGAAAGTTTTAAAAAAGGCATCATTGAAAGGTAATGCAGCTTTGTTTTGGCTCCATGTTGTTCCACTGAGCTTTTTGTTTGACATTCTTCTCCTGTTTGTCTCCACAGTCAGGGATAGAGTTCGCACTAAAATGGAACGAGACATTTTAGTGGAAGTCAATCATCCCTTCATTGTGAAGTTGCACTACGGTAAGACGACGGCAAACGTGTCATAAATGTACATCTTTCTGTCTGTTGCAGCTTGGATAGAATTGCCGTATGTGTGCAATTGTTAGTAAATGTTATGCTAGCACAGATTGGTCGAACACTGCCATCAGTCGGCCTTAGGGCAGCTGTGGGTGTTGTGGTTGAGGGAATGAATAAAGCAAACCGTTTAATAAGCTATGAATATTTGAACACACTGGAAAAAAATACAGACTTTTTAATTTATTTTTTATTTATCTGCCCCACACGATTTTATTTGCTAAAGGTACACGTCTTAGAACATGAGTGAGCTTGAATGACTCACTCTATTGACCACCATCTGTTGTGCATTCAGTCACAGTACCGGCACCTTTTTGATGAGATACAAAAAATAAAAGAAACAGACTGCATTTGTAGCTTTAAATTACTATAGAATTAAAACTTCAGCAGTAAATGTCTTTAGCTTCACTACGTGGTTATAGTTTGTGCTTTTATGGCTGCAATGGGAAGAGCGCATGAACATTTTGAGAATAACATGATAACAAATAAATGTAGTGTGTAATTAGGAGTATTTATGCATTGGATTTTTGTATTTTTATCTGACCCATGAAACTCCCAGTCACTGCGCCAACAGTTCAACATTGAGCTTTTCACTTTGCCGGCCTTTACAACCGGTGATTGTGTATTGCCTCCCCAAAGCTGCTCACTTGAACCAGGCAACGTTATTAATCAAGGAAATCCCCTTCAACATCACTGGATGAAGTGTTTTTTTACAATTTTTTCTGGGCTGGATCTGGATTTACCTAAGCAAAGTGAGCAATTATGTAAAATGGCATTGGGAGTTTTATGGCTGTAATTTGTTTAGCTTGTAAACGCAATTGACCTACATGTTTCTGCTTTTAATTTAGCCATAAGAGTGCCTCCGCTCAATTATAATTATGTTAGGCTCGCTGCTGAGATCATCCCTGTGTTTTGCTCCACAGCCTTTCAGACAGAAGGGAAACTGTATCTAATACTGGACTTTCTCAGGGGAGGGGATGTATTCACTCGCTTATCCAAAGAGGTAAGAGGACCTTCTGCTTCTACAGTTTTACAGCTTCATAAACCTTTCATTTGTTCTAGTCATTTCTTTTCCAGCTAAATATCGTCCTCTTAATCGTGCATTTAATAATTTAATCCAGCTCAATATTTTCCTAAATCCATTTTCAAAGTTTTTTTTATCTTTTCTTTGGACTCATTGTATTATTTTATTTGAAAAGAGTCCTTAAAAATTTGAACAGGAAATTGGATTTTAGACTTTATTGTTGGTCGACAGAAGTTTAATTAAATGGTTTCTTTTAAAGGAACTGCATGTACCATTTCCTATTTGTTTATGTAATAACGGCTTATTAACCGAGCGCGAGGTCTGTGCAGAGAAATATCAGACTTAATGTACAGACCTCGGTCTGTACATTAAGGCCGCGGTCTGATATTTCTCTGCACAGACCGAGCAAGCGAGGTTAATAAATGTTTCATTATATGACTCTCGTCTGTGTCTTTACCAATGCTTTTGAGATATTTGTGAAGTGTGTTCATGTCCGACTTGGTTTTGTGTGATATGCACTGCGGACAGATTGTCATGGTAACGGTCCGAGGAAAGATATCAAATGTGATACGCGCTGTTCGGACCAATTGTCATGGTAACGGTCCGAGATGGGAAAATATCAGACCGGTAATCAGCAAATCAGCGCGTTCGGTCCAAGTCATATAATACATTTAAATATTTTATGTGTTGCCCTGTAATTTATTATACATACTGTATATCTGGGTTACATTTGATCTTTGGCCTTTTTCTGTTGTTTTCATGCAGATTATCCAATCAGAGAGCAGAGCACAATTATATTTGAGTTTGGTTAGCTGAACTTAATTATGCATCAGTTTTTGGACACTCACGCAGGCTTCACATGGAATTAATCATTCACTCCGTACACTACACGGTGGTGATAAACTACTGCTGCAGCCGGATCTGACGTGGGGAAGACCACTCCCGCACACACCAGACTCATACTAGGCAATGTGGGTAAAGTGTCTTGCCTAAGGACACCACAAAAGCTTGGTGAATAACACTAAAATTAGACCCACATTGGTTTCAATAAAAGCAGGTGCAATATTAAGTAATCAAATGAAATACAGGCAGTACGATTCTCTATTATAAAAAATGTAAATTCACATACAATTCTGAAATGCATGTAACTGTCATATGACAATCACCTCAATCCTTTTATATTTGATTTCCTTTTTCGTCTTTTATTTTGATTGAAATCTGGATTATGTTCTCTTTAGATCAGCTGTAGCTTGTCTGATTCAGGCCCAGATCAATCCCTTTAATGCTCTTGGGAGCCTGAACAATGTGTGATTGTTCTGCAGACAGACCTCCAGTTGAAGGCTTGTCTGCAAACCAAAGCGATCGCTGCAGGCAATGTCAAGTCCGCATCTCTGAGCTGTGAACACGTTCTGAAATGTTTTGAAAGATAATGCTTTGTTTTGTCTTTAAGTGATTGATACAGTTTTTGATGGTGAAGTGTGCGTGCTTTGTTTGGTGTCTTCCTTGTGTTTGGAGTTCAGAGAGTAAAATTGTCCAGTTTTTTATCAGGTTATGTTTACAGAAGAAGATGTGAAATTCTACCTTGCAGAGCTGGCCCTAGCCCTCGACCACCTGCACAGTCTGGGCATAGTTTACAGAGACCTCAAACCAGAAAAGTATGAAACATTTCCCTTTTGTGCCTTTCATAACATCTGGTTTAAGTTTCCCGTCTGCGTTCATATGTTGACTCTTCCATTTGATATCACTAGAAATCGCAAAGCTCTTGATAAAAACGTGAAATGAAAACATTGTCTGTTTTTTCTCATATCCAAACTATTTATTTGGAAGAAGAAAAATATTGAATTGACTTTCTCAAAACCGGCAGCATGTGTTTGTAGATTATTATTCCACAGATTGAACTACCCAGTGTTCCATCTATCATCATCGCATACAGATATCCTGTCCCAGTATTTAATCAGGCATGTCAAACTTAGTATTTGGCCCACAAAACCATTTTTAGTGACCCCTAATTTATTTTCAGTTATCGTTATCACAGTAACTTGCTGCATTGATAGTAAAGGTCTACTTTTGCATGTCATACTTTACTCAGGAAAACAACCATGAATATTTTCTAAAAGGTGAATGTTAATGTAAATAGAAATTATTGTATATTTAATTTTACTTCATCAGTCTTCAAATACATCTCCTCTTTATATTTGTGCCCAGTTGTTGAATCCAAACTTCCGAGAAAATATGATCCTAACTCACGTCAAATATACTTAATCTGTCAAAACAAAAAACTTTATACCACTTTAATACTTATGTTTTTAAATTTGACACATGAGCAAAATTAGTTGGTCAACCTTGCTTTAAATGAATTAAATAATGAATGATTTTACAATTTAATTTATTAATTTTGAAAACTCATTCCAACATCACAAAAAATATGTTGAAATCCCTCCTCAGCTTTGTATATCCATATTCTAACCATGTGCCTTTGTGTCTACCTTTTCAGCATCTTACTTGATGAAGCTGGACATATAAAACTAACAGGTACGTGCGGTTTGCTACAATGTAATGATTAAACACTAATAAGCTAACCTTTCCTCTCTCATATCCGCAGACTTTGGTTTGAGTAAAGAATCCGTGGACGCTGATAAGAAAGCCTATTCTTTCTGTGGTACTGTGGAGTATATGGCCCCTGAGGTGGTCAACAGGAGAGGACACACACAGAGCGCAGACTGGTGGTCACTCGGAGTTCTCATGGTATTTACACATGTTTATTTTTATTTTTTTTTTCATTTCAATTTGATGTGCAGCAGACAAAAAGTGGAGCCCTGGAACTGTATGAGGGATAAGGGGACTATTACTATCAAAAACCAATGAATAAATTAAAGTATGTAGAGAAACGTTTGTGGTAAAGCAGTATTGCAAATGTGGCTCATGTTCCACGCCTAAAGGGTTAATATAGTAAGTTACGATTTCATGTAAAGCAATGGTGCTGTTTGAAGATTTTTTGATGAAAATATTCCAGTGAATATCATTTTTATCACAAGTTCTTGACTGTTATCAGCTAGTGCCTTTTTTGATTTGAGATGAGTGAAAGTGTATACTTGTAGGCCTAAAGTTATACCTATATGTTTAATTGTAGTGAATGAAATTAAAGCGTTTACTTCATGAATGGAAAACTAATTACATTACGTTTATGTTATCCCAGTTTACTAGTTTATAACAACATTATTGATCAAGGTGGCATTATATTGTAGGATTCTATTCTGCTGAAAAACTGTCCAAATGAATTGTCTAAATTTAACATATCTGCATTGTTTATTACCCATGTGTGAGTGTGTGTGTTCCATTTTATGCTAATATGTGAATATAATGTACTCTGCTTTTAAGAGTTGTCCTTTCCTTCTTTTTCTTGTGTTTTGGCAGTTTGAGATGTTAACAGGAACATTACCGTTCCAAGGGAAAGACCGTAATGAGACGATGAATATGATTCTCAAGTGAGTCATTTTACACTGAATACATTAATATTACAGAAAGAACCAGTAGGAGGAAGAGGAGGCATTTACCAGAACTACTCTTTTTCTCTCTCCGGCTTAGGGCTAAGTTGGGAATGCCCCAGTTCCTCAGTTCGGAGGCCCAGAGTTTGCTGAGAATGCTGTTCAAACGAAACCCAGCTAATAGATTAGGTAAGTGTTGCATGATGTGATGTTGAATATATGCTGTCAAGCAGACTCCCCGACAGCCCATGCTTTATCAAGGCAACCTGCAGACTAGAAGAAGGGGAATGAAAAGAAAAGAAAGACACTATTCAACCAAGACTACACATTTCACCCTGAACTCTGAACATAGTTAAGCGCTATGGTTGACCTTGGTCTGTAAAAATGTGGTATATAAATAAAAGTGTTTATTACTTAGTACCGTAATCTACAGTGTCTATGGCCATACTTTTTTGTGGCAATGCCCTTGCTTGATCATTGAAGCTGATTTCTTTAACGGTTAACCAACCTACCACTGTAACGGCCAGCTCAAGAGGTGATGCTAAAATCAAAATTATATAGACATGCACTTCAAGCGGATTTGTTAAAACATTTTTTTTTTTTTTTTTTTTATATGGACACTGCACATTAATCAACATGTGTATTTTAAACATGTAAATGTGCCACAGTTTACAATTTAGGCTAATATTCATCCGTAGTCCCATGGCAGGTTGATATCAAGACATGTAAAATAGGACATACAACAAGCACAAACACAGAAACACCATCTTTTTGTGTTTTAACTGTTGATTCTCTGATCTGTGTTGGTGATTCAATGGTTTTGTTAAGTCCTCTGAGATGACTTCTGTTGTGATTTAGGGCTATAGAAGAATAAATTGAATTGTATTGTATCACAAAGACATAATAAAACAGGGTAGCATGTAAAATGGGTAAATTAGCACAGATGAAAGATCAGAGGGACTATACACAAAACGCCACCAATTTCCACACAGCAAGTTAGTGGTTGTTAAAGATTAAGAGATCCTTTATTCCTCCCACAGTGGGGAAATGTCAGTGTTGCATCACAAGTTACAGAAAAGCGGGAATGAGGAGCACAACATATGTGAACTCCATACTAAAATAAAATAGAATCTTCTAAAAACGCGCACTTAAGAAGCAAGAATTAAGTAAAACATATTACAAGTTTCTGAATACTACGGATAGTGATAGTTTGTTTGTCTTCTACATTGTGTATTGCAAAGGTTCTTAAGTACAATACAATCTTACACTGTCAATCGTTTCCAGCACTTTTTATTCCTGTACTTTTCACCTTGTTTTATCTATGAACTTGTCTTGTGCACTCTGGGGGCGTTTGCAAATGTACGTGATTTTTAGAGATAAAATGAATCTGAATCTGAAAAGTGTTCAAGCATTTCTGGATCGTGCTGCATTGAATGTAACTTGTTGCATGTCTCTCAACAGCCTGTTCTCGCTCGCCATGACTTCACATTTTGGCGTCCTCTCCCACAGCACGTCAACACACTGAAAAGACTGAAATGTGTGAAAGCGTTGATCCCTTCAAATCAATGAGCTCACCAGGTTAACACCACTTCTGCTTTGTTTTAGGGGCCGGTCCAGATGGCGTGGAGGAGATCAAACGACACGCTTTCTTTTCTACTATCGACTGGAACGTAAGCAACAAAACAACACGCAGTTACCTCCCTCCCCTTCCCTCTTTCACTTTTACTGGTCACAACGTGGTAGCGACGTGTGGCTCTTCCAACCGCTGCTGAGGCTTCACACCTCGCGAACGTTTTGGCTGTGCTCGTCCGTGGGCATCGGTGATTGGGCCGTGCCAGCAATCTGCGTGGAGCGCCCGGGCGTGGGGCCAGTTCTCTGCGTGCCAGTGTTTAAGAGGCAGTAGGCGGCTGTTGGCTCGAGCGCTCGCTGTTAAAGGGCGGGAGAGGGTTAATCTGGGAGAACACACACACACACACACTTGCATATGTTGTGCACAGTGACCTGCTTAATACTGTGAGTGTGATCTCCTATTGTCACATAAGGGGTTGGTTTCAAACTGCTTGTGGTCCTGTTGTGTATTTATTTCTCACACTGATTCGAAATTCAATGTGGATTTTTTTACTTCCTATTTTTTTGTGAATCCTTCTTAGTTAAAGTGCACTCATAAGTCCAGGTGTTATTAATAAAGTAAGTCTGGTTTTCAGGTTGGGTCAGGTCATCAACATCATATTTTTTTTGCTTTGATGACATAAAAAAAAACCCCAAACTGTAATATTCATGCTGTAGACCAGGAGTGTTCAATCATTTGACCGGCCAGGCCAAAATGTATGTGCAATGTGTGAGCCATGGACCACATAAAAAGTGATACAACACTATTTTGATGTCTAAACTATCTTTAATTATTGTAAGAGAAGTAGCCCTTATATGTTTTTACCTGCCTATTTTCTAACTGGCTTTGATAGAGTCCAAGGAGAAGGAATTCGGTAACACTTTACATTACGGGCCGGTAAGTCCATGGTACTTACAGTGGTACTTCTAGGTACTTACAGTGGTACTTCTAGGTACTTACAGTGGTACTTACGGTGGTACTTACGGTGGTACTTACGGTGGTACTTACGGTGGTACTTACGTTGGTACTTACGGTGGTACTTACGGTGGTACTTACGGTGGTACTTACGGTGGTACTTACGGTGGTACTTACGGTGGTACTTACAGGGGTACTTACGGTGGTACTTACGGTGGTACTTACGGTGGTACTTACGGTGGTACTTACGGTGGTACTTACGGTGGTACTTACAGTGGTACTTACAGTGGTACTTACAGTGGTACTTCTAGGTACTTACAGTGGTACTTCTAGGTACTTACGGTGGTACTTACGGTGGTACTTACGGTGGTACTTACGGTGGTACTTACGGTGGTACTTACGGTGGTACTTACGGTGGTACTTACGGTGGTACTTACGGTGGTACTTACGGTGGTACTTACGGTGGTACTTACAGTGGTACTTACAGTGGTACTTACAGTGGTACTTCTAGGTACTTACAGTGGTACTTCTAGTGGTACTTCTAGGTACTTATTGTGGTACTTACAGTGGTACTTCTAGGTACTTAGTGGTACTTAGAGGTACTTATTGTGGTACTTACAGTGGTACTTCTAGGTACTTATTGTGATAATTCTAGATACAGCTGTAACTTAATTCAAGGACACTACAGTATTATTCCTATGTAGTAAATGTGGTACTTCTACATACATACATACAGAGGTCATTTGTAGGATTGTTTGACTATAAAACATAAAACAACATTATGTAAAACAAACGTCTTTATTAATATGGAATAAGTAGCACAGAAAGGACAGTATAAATACATGTAATGCATATTTCAAAACAAGTTTCAAGGACAAGGGAAACACTGCAAGAACTAGGTACCCAACCCAAGTAACAAGAATTACACATTACCAGGTACTTACCAGCCAAGTACCAGGTACTTACCAGCAAGTACCAGGTACTTACCAGCCAAGTACCAGGTACTTACCAGCAAGTACCAGGTACTTAACAGCAAGTACCAGGTACTTAACAGCAAGTACCAGGTACTTACCATAGGGACTGGCCCATAATAAGACAAAGGACTTTAACATAAGTACCAGTGATAACACCAGTAATTATACAGTAAGTACCAGGTACTTACCATAGGGACTGGCCCATAATAAGACAAAGGACTTTAACATAAGTACCAGTGATAACACCAGTAATTATATAGTAAGTACCAGGTACTTACCATAGGAACTGGCCCATAATAAGACAAAGGACTTACCCATAAGTACTAGTGATACCAGTAATTATATAGTATACCATGTACTTACCAGCAAGTACCTGGTACTTGCTGGTAAGTACCTGGTACTTGCTGGTAAGTACCTGGTACTTGCTGGTAAGTACCTGGTACTTGCTGGTAAGTACCTGGTACTTGCTGGTAAGTACCTGGTACTTGCTGGTAAGTACCTGGTACTTGCTGGTAAGTACCTGGTACTTGCTGGTAAGTACCTGGTACTTGCTGGTAAGTACCTGGTACTTGCTGGTAAGTACATGGTATACTATATAATTACTGGTATCACTAGTACTTATGGGTAAGTCCTTTGTCTTATTATGGGCCAGTTTCTATGGTAAGTACCTGGTACTTACTATATAATTACTGGTGTTATCACTGGTACTTATGTTAAAGTCCTTTGTCTTATTATGGGCCAGTCCCTATGGTAAGTACCTGGTACTTGCTGGTAAGTACATGGTACTTGCTGGTAAGTACATGGTATACTATATAATTACTGGTATCACTAGTACTTATGGGTAAGTCCTTTGTCTTATTATGGGCCAGTTCCTATGGTAAGTACCTGGTACTTACTATATAATTACTGGTGTTATCACTGGTACTTATGTTAAAGTCCTTTGTCTTATTATGGGCCAGTCCCTATGGTAAGTACCTGGTACTTACTGTATAATTACTGGTGTTATCACTGGTACTTATGTTAAAGTCCTTTGTCTTATTATGGGCCAGTCCCTATGGTAAGTACCTGGTACTTGCTGTTAAGTACCTGGTACTTGCTGGTAAGTACCTGGTACTTGCTGGTAAGTACCTGGTACTTGTACCTGGTACTTGCTGGTAAGACGTTTGTTTTACATAATGTTGTTTTATGTTTTATAGTCAAACAATCCTACAAATGACCTCTGTATGTATGTATGTAGAAGTACCACATTTACTACATAGGAATAATACTGTAGTGTCCTTGAATTACTAAGTTACAGCTGTATCTAGAATTATCACAATAAGTACCTAGAAGTACCACTGTAAGTACCTAGAAGTACCACACTAGAAGTACCACTGTAAGTACCTAGAAGTACCACTAGAAGTACCACTGTAAGTACCTAGAAGTACCACTGTAAGTACCACTGTAAGTACCACTGTAAGTACCACCGTAAGTACCACCGTAAGTACCACCGTAAGTACCACCGTAAGTACCACCGTAAGTACCACCGTAAGTACCACCGTAAGTACCACCGTAAGTACCACCGTAAGTACCACCGTAAGTACCACCGTAAGTACCACCGTAAGTACCTAGAAGTACCACTGTAAGTACCATGGACTTACCGGCCCGTAATGTAAAGTGTTACCAGGAATTCTGTTGTAAATCATGCAATATTTCATCCACATTTTGTTGGTTTTGGTTGGCCCTGGTCTTGTCTTTATTAATCCTTTTTATGAAACTGTCGTTGTCTGAAATGTGAACCGTTATGATTTTTATAGAAACTGTACAGAAGAGAGCTACAGCCTCCGTTCAAGCCTGCAGCAGGAAAACCAGACGACACGTTCTGCTTTGACCCAGAGTTCACTGCAAAAACGCCTAAAGGTAACTACAAATGAGGAATGAGAAGTGTTGCTCAAGTCTAGAATATTCAACAGAAGAAAATCATGTAAAAAGAATCTCAGATAAAAAATAAATGTTGCATGAAAACACTATTTTCAAGGAGTGTGTTTTTGGAATATGTATGCTGATTTCTGACCTCATGGTAGGAGACTCAAACTACAAAATAATCATAATAACTAGCAAGCTTCTCGTATCTTTTTTACATGTTTTACTAGCTGTAGAAATAAGACCTCCAAATCAAAGAGCCTTGTTCGATGGCATCTTTTTGAAACCTCCATACATAAAGCAGCAATTGCAGAAAATGTCTTAAACCCTAAAAATAGAATATACATGTATTAACATTCAAACATCCGCAGTTTGAATTGTTTTATTTTTATTATTATTTTTTACCAATTACGCCTCTTTGTAGCCATGGATAGAAAAAAGGGCCTATTGCATGTGAAAGAGAGGTTCCGCAGGTCCTCCTTCTCTGCTGCTGTCAGACTGTACAACGAGAACTGTTGAGTTGATACACGTGCCTCTCACCTGTTCTGATAATTCACTAGTCACTTTCCCTGCTATTATTATTATTATTATTATTTATTATTATTATATACAGTATACTACATGTATCCATTCATCTAATATTTCCTGCTGGCTATGAGTGTTATCGTCGAACCAAGTGCAATTATAGCTCCAGAATTGTAATTATCTTATTCTATTATGTTATTACTTATTACAGTTTTATTATGTTATTATATTTTATGTTCTATGATAGATCCTGTTTGATGTGTGCAATCTGTGTGCTCTTATTTTTTCCCCATTTTTATTCTGCTGTAAAGTGCGCAACGATGACATTGACTTTTCCCCACTGTGGGACAAATGAAGGACTATCTTATCTAATCTTAACTAATCTTATCTTATATCTATGTATTTACTTATGAAACGTCGTCTGCTCTGCTCGTCAGACTCCCCGGGTATACCTCCCAGTGCAAACGCTCACCAGCTCTTTAAAGGATTCAGCTTCGTGGCTCCGGTGCCGATGGACGAGAACAAGAGCTCGCCGCTGCTCAGCATTCTGCCCATCGTCCAGGTAACGCGGCCGCTCACTGGGGAGAATATGACACACGCAATCACATGGTAAAGAAGAGGAAATTGCAGCGAAATGATGGGGATTGAATGGGCTGTTGGGTAAATGTAATGAGTGTTATGACTGTAGACGGGAAAGGTGGATATGGAACGGCTTAATTTCATGCGTCTGTTACACAAAAAGGTAACACTGACTTTATGTGGGTCTGTTCTCTTTATTACTTTCTTATAGTTTACAGAATACTTATTTCTTGTATTCATGTAACTCAACAATAGTCAAATGGGACAAATGTGTGTCAGAACCATTTCAGATTTGTTATGGTGTGAGACAGGGAAGTCTGTTGTTCCCTGTGCTCTTTAATTTCTATATGTATGACCTATCCAAGCAGCTGAATAAGTGAAAAACTGGCTGTATGGTTGGTGCTTTAATTGATCACTTAATGTATGCGGACGACCTGGTGGTGTTTAGCCCGAGTTCAGCCGGTCTTCAGCAGTTGTTTAATGTTTGTTTGAGTTTGGGGAACTTCAGGATGTAAAATACAAGTCCACTAAAAGTGTAATCATGATCTGCCGGACTAAGAAGGACAGTTCACTGAAGTTTCCTGACTTTATGCTCTCAGGGAACATCTTGACTGTGTGTGATGCGGTCAAGTACCTCGGTCACATCATAACTGACCGTTTGACCGATGACGAGGACATGTATCGTCAGTGCCGGATGTTATTTGCACAAGCGAAGTCTCAGAAATTCTCCTGCTCTGTACAGGTGAAATTAGCTCTGTTTTGAGCTTAGTGCTCACCTCTGTACACAGCACATCTGTGCGTCCATTACTAAAAGTACAGCTTTCAGAAACTTACAGTTGCTTACAATGATGCACTGAGAATTGTATTAAAAAAGCCCAGATGGACAAGAGCCAGCGAACTTTGTGTCAAATAGAGTCAACACTTTGTAAGCTGTCTTGAGAAATTTGATGTTTAAGTTTATAGGTCGCCTGAACAATTGAAAAAATGCTGTGATTATCTTATTGTCCAGTGTTGTGTGCAGCGAGGTACGTCACACGTCGCTGCTTTGGAAACATTGGTACGACTGCCTCTTGAAAGTGGTTTTTTTTTCAGTGTCTGTTGATCTTGTTTTGAGTCTGCAAGTAAAGTTATCTATCTATCTAGTAACAGCAAGAAGGTCCTGGGTTTGATTCCACCTCCAGACAGGGCCTCTCTTCGTGGAGTTTGCATATTCTCCCTGTGTGTGCATACGTTTCCTAAAGATGAATGAGTGTTCGAGATCACGACTCTGGGACTAGGGATAGAAATTCATGTGTATTAAATGCTGTTCATTAGTACACACTGCCCCATTTAAGTAAACAAATAAATAAAAAAATATTGGTATCTACTGTGTCATTAAATATAATATGTGTTTAAATGAAAATGTGCAGTTGTATGAAACTTTTGGACCCATCAATAAAAGTTTAAATGTCACGAGTTTTGGGTTTGCAACATACAGAGCAGCTCCTCCTGGTTCCTGAAGATTTTACCTATTCGTTTTTGTTTGAAGGCAGGTCAGGGACAAATTATAGATTTGGTTTGACTCTGTCGTGGCATTGTTACAGTAGTTAATGTATTTATTTAACAAATCCCACAACTCCAATAATAAGGAAAAATACTTTGAATTGTAAAACATTTGCTCTGTGGTTTTGTTTTTATAGCTGCATGGAGGCTCAACTAAGTTCTCCGACTTGTACGAGCTGCAAGAGGACATCGGAGTCGGCTCGTATTCCATCTGCAAACGCTGTGTTCACAGAGTCACTGCCATGGACTACGCTGTGAAGGTAAACAACAATATCAAATAAGAAATTGGAGGCGTAAACCAAACTCCTGTCATTTCGCAGGGACACTTTAAAACGGGTGGTACGCCTTGAACTTGAATTTAAACATTTATAATTGTCATTGTCTGTCCTAAAGAGGATTGGCTGTTGATAAGATAAGACAACCTATATTTGTCCCACAGTGGGGAAATGTCAAGGTTGCAGCGCACGTACAGGTCAGTAGTAAGAGCACACAGGGAGCACACAAAATACAAAATATATGTAGCTGCTGTGTTTCTTCGCCATCTGCAAATGCTTCAATATTATAATATCGATTAATCTCTCAGTGACAAAAACTTGACAATGATCAATTGATAGGAATTAAATTAAATGAATTGTATTGTATTGGGCGAGAGTAGCTCAGTTGGTAGAGCACTGGCCTTTAGGCCTGAAGGTCGTGGGTTCGAGCCCACCATAAGACCTACTTCGCGACCCACTGATGACTGCTGTCGTTGTGTCCTTGGGCAAGACATCTAACCCCACTTTGCCTGAAGCCCCCACTGAAAGATCTCAGCTCCTGTGGACTCACCACCTGCAGGAGGATCAGTGAGGGGCTGGTGCTCTGTGAACTGGGTGCAGCTCTGACTGCCACCCCCCGACCCAGAAATGGATTAAGGGGAAGAAAATGGATGGATGGATGGATGGAATTGTATATCATTGATAGGAATCAGTATTTATTCCATATATGTAAATGTCATAGACTGAGAGCTAGGAGTGTAGTTTCAGACCATACAACAGCAATAATAAAAACGTATTCAAAAAATAATTTTTGAATCAAATATTAATATTATATAATGTTGTTGCCTCTTAAGCCCTGTACTTCATCATATAAAAGCCCCTCTTGTCCCCTGCTTCCGTCTGCATTTATTGTGCGAGATGTGCATTAATAGAAAGGTCAATCAAAGTCAATCAAAGTTTATTTGTAGAGCGCCTTTCATACACATGGCAACACAAAGCGCTTCACAGTCCACATCACAAATCATCACATAAAACAAACACCAGAATCACAATTAAAACATTAAAATCACACAAAAGATTAAAACACAATTAAAACATTAAAATCACACAAAAGAATAAAACCATTAAAACTTTCAAAATTACACAAGAAATTTAAAAAAATAAATAAATGACAGCAGTGCATTAAAAATGGAGATAAAATCCTTCAGTTGTATGCACAGGCAAACAGAACAGTCTTTAACCTGGATTTGAACATTGACAGAGTAGACGCCTCCCTCACATTTTCAGGGAGATTGTTCCAGATCTTAGCTGCATGGATCTGAAACGCAGCCTCCCCATGTTTGGTTCTCACTCTGGGCACCAGCAGGAGGCCAGTCCCTGTGCTCCTCAGAGTCCGTGCCGGTTCATATGACACCAACATGTCACTAATGTATTCTGGTGCAAGGCCATGGAGAGACTTGTACACAAGCAGAGCCGTTTTAAAATCTATTCACAGGAAGCCAGTGCAGAGACCTGAGGACCGGACTAATATGGTCATACTTCCTGGTTCCTGTCAGGACTCTAGCTGCTGCATTTTGGATGTACTGCAGCTGCTTACAGGTCTGTTTGGACAGACCTGTAAGCAGGCCATTGCAGTAGTCTAGCCTGCTGGAGACAAATGCATGGACAAGAATCTCCAAGTCTGCCCTGGACACTATATTTCTAACTTTGGCAATGTTCTTCAGATGGTAAAAAGCTGTTGATGTTATTGATTTTATGTGGCTATTGAAATTTAGGTCTGACAAAGAGCCGTGTTGAGTAATACGTAGCCCCGGTGATTAATGACACGTCCCCATTTGCATACTACACGCGTGTCTTCGCTGTCAGAACATAATTACACCAATTACACAGTATTTATAGTACAATTGTGAAAGCTTTGAGCGTTATTGCACACAGAGATCACCTCGCTGTCAGTTTAAAGTCATGCCTGTTCTTCAGTGGAATGAAAAGTAGCATCCATTTTTTGCAAAGGCCTTAACGGTAATATGCTGTTGATACTTTAATTTGTAATATTATATTTAAACATTTGACACAAAAAATATAGTTAAGCATGAACAGTTCTGAAGTGAGTCTGAGAGCAAGGAACTAGTTGGGTGGTTTTAGTTGGTTTTTTTGTTGTTGTTTTGAAAGTTTGGTGCCCCAGCTTTTAGGTTGAATATGTTTTTTCTTGTATTTCTTTATTTTTAATTTAATAGATTCAACTGTTTGCAACTGTTTAGCATTTATAAATCCAGATAGCTACAGTATAAAGGAAGCATTTAATTTATGAACTTGGCACTCTTATCAATAGAGTGGACTGTTTCTATGGTGATGTTTCATATTTTTAACCTGCAAAATATACATATGAGTAAATACCGTTGTTTTCTTGTGAACAGATCATTGACAAAAGTAAAAGAGACCCTTCTGAAGAGATCGAAATCCTGATGCGATACGGGCAGCATCCAAACATCATCACACTGAAAGACGTATGTACGGCGCAACACACACTGTACTTAAATAAAAAAATAAAATGAACATGGAAAAACCTCACCTCTGCTCTGTTCTCAGGTGTACGACGAGGGCAGGTACGTTTACCTGGTGACGGAGCTGATGAAAGGCGGAGAGCTGCTCGACAGAATCCTCAGGCAGAAGTTCTTCTCCGAGCGCGAGGCCAGTGCAGTGCTCTACACCATCACCAAGACTGTAGACTACCTCCACTGCCAAGGGGTACGACCTCCTCACCCCCACGAGGCTATCACTAGTTTTCACATGACTGTATATTTTCGGTCATATTTGAAGATTAGCTTTTTCCAACAAAGGTATAAAAGGACCTCTCTTGCTCGGCACATCAGCTCCCAGCCCTAAATGTCAAATCATAACTCTCAATGCTCTTTCTTACAAGCAAAAGAAGAGATGTTCGATAAGAGAGTGACAGCATGTTGTGGTGTGTTATGTTTTACACAACTCTGTCAAAACAATGCGAAGATAAACAGTTGATAAAACAAGTCCAAATACAGAGGGGCAAGTTGTTTTCAGTGATATTCTATTTCCTAAACGGTTGTCTTTTTGATCAGGTGGTACACAGAGACTTGAAGCCGAGCAACATCCTTTACATGGACGACTCTGGGAACCCGGACTCGATACGAATCTGCGACTTTGGTTTCGCCAAACAGCTCCGTGGAGGAAACGGGCTGCTCCTCACGCCTTGTTACACTGCAAACTTTGTGGCGCCAGAGGTACCGGCCCCATTCTTCTGTTGGATATCAGTGTTGTTGGCATGAACCAGGCCAGAAAATGCAGTAATGATGAACCAACCTGGTGTATGTGTAGGTACTAATGCGGCAAGGCTACGACGCAGCCTGCGACATATGGAGTTTGGGAGTCTTACTGTACACAATGTTGGCTGGGTAAGAATTCACATTTACTACCAATAATCTATTTGTACAACTTATCTTCAGCCATTGCATTTAATGATTACTGTTTTATTATTATTATTTTTTATTTATTTTGTAAGTTGTTCAATTTGGCCTAACATAATGCGTGTATAATTGAATGATTGGATTCATTTCAAGCATTTAAACAGGAATCATTAAAAGAATTTACTGCAATACATGATAGTAACATACATACATTCATACATTGAAGAATTTCCCATTGTTTTTTGTTGGTTTTTTGTTTTACCGATTTAACCCATACATACTGGCTTAGATCTTGGTGTCAAATGAGTTCTCAAAGGGCCAGTGGCTGCAGGTTTTCATTCCAACCAAGAAGGAGGACTTGAGGAAATGGGTGGAATCTGGAGTGCCCCTGCTCGGTTGGAATGAAAACCTGCAGCTACCGGCCCTTTCTGAAATTAGTTTGCTTTTTACTTGTACAAATGTTTATCAGTTCTGTTCTTTATCTCCATCGCATACATAATCTGCATAACTCAAAAACTAAATCCAAACTCTCTAATCCTTCACTTCACTAATCCTCCTGTAAATGTCCAAACGTATGACTTTTAAACATTGGTCCTTTTTTGGTTTTCTCACATAGATATACGCCGTTTGCAAATGGGCCAAATGACACACCAGAGGAGATTTTACTCCGAATAGGATCTGGCAAGTTTTCTTTGACGGGTGGCAACTGGGATACTGTCTCAGACTCTTCGAAGGTGCGTATCGTATGTCATAATCAAAATATAAATTACTGGTAACAATTTGCAGAAGACTTAAGTAATTGTACGTATTTGCAAATTGCTAACAACGAACAATAGATTTGCCGATGTTAACAACAAATGTCTTGTTTTTTTTTGGGATTCTTGGACTCCTAAGATACTTCTTCTGTGGTCAAAAGTACTTTTATACTTGTTAAAAATATGGAATATATTCTCAATTTATATGTATAGATTTTTGTCACGTGTTACCAAAAAATAGCAGTTTGAAACCATAATAAACTTCAATGTGTGGGAGTCTTGTATTTGCCCAATGCTTCATGGATTGTGTTTTCATTAAAATGTGACTCATGTATTTAAGGATTTATGTCGGAAAAGTAGAAGAGAAGATCAAACTGTTTTTATGATATATATATATATATTCCTTGCTTTTGTGCAGGACCTTCTGTCTCATATGTTACACGTGGATCCTCATCAGCGTTACACAGCGGAGCAGGTGCTGAAACACTCGTGGATCACCTGCAGAGACACGTTACCGCACTTCCAGCTCACGAGACACGACGCGCCGCATTTAGTCAAGGTCAGACTAAACGGACTTTAACATTTCTGTATTTTCAAATCTAGTCATAGTTAAGGACAGTACCTCAAACAACCACACGATGGCAGCGCTGCTTCACATGTGTTCTCTTGTTTTCATAAAGTTGTATATTGTCCATTGGTTTATTGTTTTAATAAGTAAACCTTTTTGCCGAGCAGATCGTGTTTGACAAACTCATTAATCTCAATTAGCAACAAAATATGAACATAGATGTGGGGGAACCTGGCCCAAGTTTCAATTTGTTTTATTTTGTTGAATTTAGATTGTTGTTGGTAATAATAAAATGTGCTCAAAAACAAACAAATACATGGTTCAAAAAGGGGTTGGACGAGAAACTGACTCGAAAAAATCAAGATGGTTTTGGGTTTATGTGGGAAAATAAATGTACAGAAATGAAATCTGTAAAATTAAAAGGGGACAACGTAACCCACACTGTCTCAACAAACAGAATGAGAATAAATTGGTCCATATTTTAAAAGAATAGGAAGGACAATGCAATACAATATAAACGGTCCAAGCAGATCTATAGATGGTTGTGTATCTGCCCAGTGCTTTCTGAAGACTCTGCAGACAACTTCTTGACAATAATATATCAATAATAATTCACCGGAAAATGTTTCTTTTTCTATTGCTATTATTAAAAAGGGCTCTCAAACATGTCCAGTCCTTTCAGACCAATGATATAAAAATGTAGAGTTGTGTTTTTTTTTTTTTTTTTTGGTCCTCATACATTTCACATATTCATTCATTCATTCATTCATTCAATAATCATGAACTGCTCAAAACAAAACCAAATAAATGGAATTAGTGTATTTTTATATAAAACAAAGTCAAAGGTAATGTTTCTGAATATGAATATTTGGATCATCACAAGAATGAAAGCAAATCCTCCCATCCATAAGTTGTCTTCTGCTTTATCCATTGCCGGGTCGCAGGCGCAGCAGTCCAAGCAGAGACTCTCAGACCTCCTTATCCAAACTTCCTTCTTCATAACTGTTTTGAGTCTAAAATACACATATCTGATTAATAATGGCTGTTTCTCTGCAGGGGGCGATGGCTGCCACATACTCCGCTCTGAGCCAGAAGACCAGTCAGCCCGTGTTGGAGCCCGTGGCCGCGTCCAGTTTAGCCCAGCGCCGCAGCATGAAGAAGCTCACCTCCACTGACATGTAGTCCCCTCTCCAAAAAAGAAACTCAAAAAACTACAACCTCAGAAGCTCAAACGGACTCTGCAGATCCAAACAAGCTCTGGCCAGTCGCACTTACACCATATACTGTCTCCCTGAGTATTTTTTTAGCCTATTTATTATTTTTGGACTCGCCCTTCATATGCATCCACACACTGGACGAGGTGGTGTCATGAAGACGTCAGCTGAGAATGACATATCTGTTACTGCTGCGGAACAACAGGCGCGCGCAAATCCCACATTGGTGCATTGGGACGGACAGCGGAGAGCGGATTGTGTTTTGGTAGTGCGGTCCAAAGGGTATAGCAGTATAATGTTTTCAATCATGTGTTTTTATGATGATGATGGTGAAAATACTCTTATAGAGATAAAATGTGAGGTACCCAGGTGTAAACTAACGTAGGTCAAAGGCTACACACGGTCTCGGAATTAACCTATACTACAAATAGGTCTTCACACGACTAAACCAGGACTGAACCAGGTCAAAGCTAGATCTAACTCATTTCTAAGCGCAGGTGCTAAACATTTATTACCAGCTGAAATGCAACAAACTTTAGAACAAATACTTGAATATTTTAGCTGATGTCTTATGTTTTAAAGCTGTATTCTCCCTTTTAATTTAATTTCTATTTTTAAAGTAATTGTTATATTTGATTTCTGTTAAAGTGAATGTCAGTCTCTTCTGAAGAGGGATAAGCTTTGAATGCAATCCCCTGCTCCTGATTGGAGCAATAAATGCAAATCCTTTATTGACACAGAAGCTCTCTCCCCATTGGTTTAACAATTTTTTTTCACAATTTCCTCATCCATCCAACTTACTTTACTTTTTAGTCCAGGGTTAAGTGGCCAAAAATATGTATTAATGATGTTACGTCATCGGTCCCTCATCCTCCATACACGCTAATATCAGGAATTTCTCGCTCAAACCTGTTCCTCCTCCCTTCTGTGTAAATGCTCCCATATCAATCCTGGTACACTGTGACATTTCCTTAACATAGGAACTAATCTTCAAAGCCTTTTATTCTGCCTTTTTAAAACCACATTATTGCCTCCAAACTGGTTGCGTTCTTAAAAACCATGTCTTCAATGGCTGCCCGCAATGTTTGATTTAGATGAAAAATAACCACAATTAAGCGCATTTCTCTGGTATTCTATTTCTCAGTCCAAAACTTGAAAGGTCAAAAGAAATAGCCACATTATCAGGTTTAAACTGGGTCCTCTTTATCGTCAAAATAAAAATAAAACACATGCTTGTACAGTTTTTTTCTTTAGTTTTAACGTCGGCGTGTGACTTTGAACGGCACTACCCGCACTTCCGTCTTTCCCGTGACGTTTTAATGCACCGATGTAGCCTGATGTGTATTTCCTCAGCTTTCTCATATGCACTTGCCCTCCTCGCCTTCTCATCCTCTCTTCCTCTGGCCGGGGAAGATTCGCACCAGCTGATGTTTTTTCCTTCACTGTGATTGGCTGATTCAAAGCTGCTTCAAAAAAGAAAAAACTGTGGACCCCCAGAACCCCCCTTCACTGCTCTTCATCGACGTAGCTAAGCCTAATATTTCTATGTTTTTCTCTCTTTCTCTACGTGTACGTCTTGCCTGTTTGCTTTGCTCGCAGTTTTCCTCAAAGTGATGTATGTGGGAACGTGCAGGAATGATTGTGTGTTATTGACTAGTTCGGGGGAAATATGAGGAGGAAATATTCTCTTCACAGGGCTTGTAAAAAAAAAAGTTGAAATGAGAAAAAAAAAATCCCCCCCAAGATCAAATGAATACATCTACCAGCACTTCTGTTTCATTTACCGATCAAGCATTACACTGACCACTGACAAACGGTCACAGTGCATTTTCATTATGGCATTATTTAAAGCTGAGGTCCTTCACTTTCAAACCAAAAAGATGTAACTAATAATATTAAGCGGTCCCAAGCTCTAAAAACACACTTTTTATCACTAGTTATCACATTGTTTGCCTTTCATCACATCACATGTCTTCTGTTAGAATAGATGCATGTTGTGGTCTGATTGGTTCACACTATTGTACTTTTACAAGATTATTTTGGTTAGGACAAAGTAATGGGCGACAGAGTTGGGTACCCCAGCTTTATTGGGCTGAATTGAATTTGCAATTTTAAATTGTCAGAAAATAGTTTTTCTTTGTTTGTCAACTACAGGAATCTTGATTTGTAACACACTACAGTAATCAGTGTGTCCAAAGTTTGAATCAACTTTTATCCGACTGTTTTTAGTCTGGATCAGTATTGTGGTAGTGCGACGGAGTGGTCAAAAGTTAGCATATTTTATTAGCCAGAGTTCTCTGAAATTTTTTGATTGACAAAAAAAGGAGAACTATACTCAAAACACAAGTGAATATAAATATTTTGGGCAAAATTGAGGGAAACTTTAGTGGTATCAGAGAGAGTGAATTTTTTTCTTCTTTGGCACCTAAAGAGTTAATACATTTTCAGTGGAAATGGAAAGACATCAGGTCATATAGTTTGTCGTGTTTCATATTCTATACACTACTCAGAGCCCGTGGTCATAATGTTGTGCTTGATCGGTAAAGATACATGCAGGTGACCACATCGTTCTCTAAAAAATGAACATCATGTCTGTTTGTGATGTTAGTGTATTCAATGTGATGCTGCAGATGGATGAAGCTAAAAATAGTGCAAAAATGGTGCAAAGGTGAAGTATCGAAGCTGTTTGCGATGAAGAGCAGACGGGGGAGCCGTAGGGATTATGCTGGGGGGGTAACGGGGGACACCCCTTTGAACCAGAGAAGCTGAATTATAAATATATAAATATATATATTAAAAAAAGACATTTCCATGGGTATCTCTTCAAAAGACATTGTGGAAATTGTATGATAATGTATTTATTTCATTTGATTTTTAAGATTCTATTTTTCTTTCAGGTTCTGTATATATTGACATTAAAGATCATTATTAACATGCACATTGCTGTCTTTTTATAGTGAGAGAAATGACCTGACTATGTACCAACCTGGTTTTAGACCAATTGCTTGTTATCAGAAGCTATGACTCAACGAAGAAAATTAACCAAACCCAGAACAAAAAACCAAGAAACTTGTATTCAATTTAATAATTATTATTATTCCTCCAACCATAGCAGGACTAAACCAGCCACGGCCTGAGCTGGTTATCAAACTTCCAACCCTGACACTGTTTATTATGGCAGTAGAAGTCTACATTTCCAGAGGTCTGAAACAGGACTTTTTTGGTCTAAATCAGGTCTTAATTGTATATGCAGAGGAAACCTGAAACATGCTATATGCCATATAATTGCCTATGTTCTAAAGTATGTACAGGATACATCAGACTGAGGATTCTTTTTATTTTTTTATATTCAAATTCACCATTTGGTTTGGCGTGGCTCTTTACCACATTGACCCAGACAAACTGATACAAAATACAATCGACTTGAACACTTTGCCTTTATCGACCATGGTTTTCGACTTGTATTTCCAATTATCTGGAAATTCTGCATTGAGGACTCCTTATTAACGTCATATTTGAAGATCCACTGTAGTACCACTATGAACCGCTAGATGTCCTGATTGTTCATTCACACGTACGACGTACCCCTCTCTCTCTCACTCTCACTCTCTCCCTCTCCTCTCTCTCCCGCCACATTTAAACAGACGGGTCCCCTGCGCGCTGCTGCTCTGCTCCTATGTAAATGATCTCTCGCCAGGCAGCCTCCACATTCAACCCCCTTCTCCCCAGAGACTTGCGCCCTTTCGTCCGACCACTGGTGTGTGCTGGAGCTGTCAGGAGCAGACCGCGGAGGCCGTGCGCAGGGCAGCGACGCGCAGATGGATGGAGCGCACACAAACACACACAATTACGCACACTTTGGCCCGTGGACCAGCTGTTGTCTGAACCCCCTTTTTTTCCTTTCCTATACGTCCCATACTTTCTCCTCCCTCCCTCCCTCCTCTCTGCAGGATTAGGTGCATTTTGTAGTCAGACTAGAAGCTATAAGAAGTAAACAGTGGCCTAATTGGTTTGACATAGTGCTCTTTGTTTTGGCCTCCTGGCGCTAATCGACCACGCTTGCTAATAAGTCCACCCGGCTGGCACGCGTTTTGTTTGGGCTAGTAGGCAATATAATACAGGAAGATGGTTATTCTGACGTTAGGCATTTGATTCGAGATGGATGCAGGTGCTACATATGAAGACTTAGTTTAATTACTTTAGTCATGTTCTGATACTCGCTCATGCGTAATTTTACCCAGTAGGACACGTCTGAGATGTTTAATTTGGAAAAGGGTAGAAATTGTGATGAAGGAAAGGTAGGTTAGATTGATGGATAGATACTTTGTTGATCTCCTGTAGCATAAATTCGGGTATCAAGTATAGAGCACTGACCCAGACAAACATAAATAGAAGCATAATTCTTCTAAGGTACTGCAACAATAGTAATATATTGCACAAAGGATAATTTAAAACAGGCTATAGGATGCACACAAAGAAATACATACTGTAGTGCCTTATCATTGGAGAGTGCAAAATGGTCTTGTTTTTTTAACTTTGTTTCAATATTGTCACCAAGAGAGGGACAACCACCAGCACAATGGCCCTCATTCATAAACACACTGTAAATGTTATGAAGCTTACAGCCCAAATGAGTGTGAGGAATGGTGCACACCTGAACACAGCACCATCTGATTCATAACATGAACGTGTGCGACTGTTCATGAGGTCGTGTAGCTGCAACGAAATGTCTTGTTTACTTGATTGGAACTGTGCGTTGATAACTTATTTCTGGATTTGTTGCTTTGGGATAGTGTCCATCCGTTGTCCCACAGTCACTTTGCTTTGAACTATTGTAGGAGAAACCGGAGTACCCAGAGAAAACCTTCATAAACACAGGGAGAACGAGCGAACTCAACTCACAAAGTTGAATCGAACCCAGGACCTTCTTGCAGTGAAGCACAAGCGCCAACCTCTGAGCCACAGTCT